CTGCTGGGATTAAAGGCATGCACCACCACCGCCAGGCTATTTATTTATTTTTAAAAATAATTTTATTTTATGTGCATTGGTGTGAAGGTGTCAGGTTCTCTGGAAATGGAATTACAGACATGTGAGCTGCCATGTGGATGCTGGGAATTAAACTCAGGTTCTCTGGAAGAGCAGCCAGTGCTCTTAACCACTGAGCCATCTCTCCAGTCCTGAAGGGCTGATTTATGAGATAAATATTTAGCTCGGAGTACTGAGCCTCTTTTTTACCTCAATCATGTCTATAAAGGGTTCTTCACATTCAGCAGCTTTAACTATGGGCTCAGAGTCATGCCTGTCTTAAAACATCCCACAGTTTAATGATAATAAATTGGAAAGAAAAGCTACATAGAGATATGTGCTGTTTGTTACCAGAGCATGTGGGCATAGTTAGAACATTGGGGGATTTTGGGAAATTTTGAACTAATTATATTTATTTATTTACTTATTTATTTATGAATGAGGTCTCTCTGTGTACCCCAGCTGTCCTGGAATTTGCCATGTAGACCAGGTTGGTTTAGAACCTACAGATATCTAACTACCTCAATTTCCTGAGTGATGGGATTGAAGTTGTATGCTCTTACTCCCAGCTTGAGGTAATTAAATTAAAACTACTATTGGCCTGGAAAAATGGTTCAGTAGTGAAGAGCATTTGTTGCTCTTGCAGAGAAACAGCGTTTAGTTCCCAATATCCACATAGCAGTTCACAACAGTTTATAACTCCAGGACCTTGATGCCCTCTTCTTACTTCTGTAGGTCATGCACATGCACATGCAGGCAAAACACTTGTACACACAAAATAAGTAAACAGGAATTTAAAATTTACTACTTTTTTCCAGAATAATTACTCCTCACCTCCATAAGTTTGTTTGGGTTTTACTAAAGCTTTGATCAAATGTTATGTTAAAAGCTAAAAAATAGCCATACGGTGGCTCACACCTTTAATCCCACGAGGCAGAGGCAGGTAGATCTCTGAGATCAAAGCCAGCCTGGTCTACAGAGTGAATTACAGGACAGCCAGGGATACACAGAGAAACCCTGTCTTGAAAACAACAAAACAAAACAAGAAAGTCAACGTGTATTTTTAGAGCTAGAAACGGTGGAGCCAGGTGTGGTGGGTTATAAACCAGGTTTTTTCTTTTAGGCTGCCAACCAGCTCCAAAATCATGACATGGAGACTTAATATTAGTTATGAATGCTTGGCTTGGCTTAGGCTCATTTCTGGCTAGATCTTTTAACTTAAATTAACCCGTTTCTCTTTATTTATTTATTTATTTTACCTTTCTTACTTTCTGTCTGTCTTACTTTCACTGCTTCTAGTGTCTGTCTGTGTGGCAGATGCCTGACTAGCCCAGGGTGTCTCCTCTCTCTCTCCCTTATTCTCTCCTCTCTTCTTTCTCTTCTTCTACTTGAGCCTAGATTTCTCCTATTTAGTCTTTCTTCCCACCAGCCCTGCCTATCCCTCTCTCTGACTAGATATTGGCCATCCGGATGTCTTAGGCAGGCATGGTGAAACAAATACAACACATCTTTTCATAATTAAGCAAATGCAGCGTAAAGAAATGTAACACACCTTTACATAGTTAGAGTAATACTCCAAAGTATAAACAAATGTAACACATCTTTGCCTAATTAAAGTGACATTCCACAATAGACGTATGCCTTCAATTCCAGCACTAGAAAGGTGGAGACAAGAGGATTAGCAGTTGAAGGTCATTGAGTCTAGTCTGAGCTAGATGAGACTGTGTGTGTGTGTATCTGTGGTATATGCATGTGTACACATTCATGCATATGCACATGTGTGTAGGGATGAATGTGGAGGCTAGAGGCTAATGTCAGGTGTCTTTATCGTTCTCTACTTATTTAACTTGTAGGTTACATTTATTTTCTTATTTATTGTGTGTTTCTATATGGGTGTGTGCATGCCATGGTACCTGGATGGATGTTACACAAATACTTGCAGGAGTCAGGTCTGTCTTACCATATGGGTCCTGGTGATTGAACTCAGGTAGTAAGCCTTAGCAGCAAGCACCTTTACCCACTAGGCCATCTTGTTGGTCCCTTAAAAGGAACAGACATTCGTTTGTGTGTGTATGTGTGTGTGTGTGTTTTCTGTGTTACATGCATGCTACAGTGCTTGAGGTTAGAGGACAACCTGAAGGAGTTTGTTGTCTCCTATGTAGGTTCCAGGGATGGAATTTAGGTTGTCAAGCTGGGTAGCAAGAGCCCTTGCAAGCTGAGCCACATCACCTTATTTTTCAACAGTGTCTTTCACTGAACCTGGATCTTGCTGACAATACAAGGTGGCTGCTGGGATTCAGGGATCTTGTCTCCAGTGCTAGGATTACAGGTATATACAACCATGCCTAGATTTCTGTGTGGGTGTTGGTGATGTGAACTCAGATCTTTATGCTTGTGTGGAAAGACTTTACCAACTACACAATATACCAGTCTCCATCTAGACCCTGTCTTAAAAAACAAAAATAAGCTGGGCAGTGGTGGCGCACACCTTTAATCCCAGCACTTGGGAGGCAGAGGTAGAGGCAGAGGCAGGCGGATCTGTGAGTTTGAGGCCGGGCTGGTCGACAGCCTCCAAAACAATACAGAGAAACCCTGTCTCATAAAAAACAAAAAACAAAACAAACAAACAAACAAACAAAAAAAAAAACCAGCTGGGTGTGTGGTGGCAAAAGCCTTTAATCCCAGCATTGAGGAGGTAGAGAGGCAGGCAGATCTCTTTGAGTTTGAGGCCATCCTGATCTACAGAGCTAGCTTCAGAATAGCCAGGGCTACACAGAGAAACCCTAAGAAAACAAAAATAAAAACAAACCCCAAACCACAACACAATGAAATGTGTAATTTCTTAGGAAATGAAAGCAAACTGAGTACAGCTGGAAACATCTGTAGTGCCAGGTTACTTGGAAGTGAGGAGTCTCACTTCAGTTCAAGAGTTCAAGGTAAACTTGGGTAACAAAAAACAAAGTGGTAAACATCTGTAATTGTGGTACTCAGGAAGTTGAGACAGGAGACTTTTGAGTTTGAGGCCGGCCTGGACTATGTATTGAGAAAATCTCAAAATCAAACAAGAATGTTAATATTAATTCAAGCGAGAATATCAGTAGGTCTCCTTTGCGTGATATATGTAGGAGGACATTGGGATATCAAACAGCTGGTTCAGTTTCATTCTGGTTTTGCCAGAATTGGAGAAAAAGATCGTTTGAAAAAAACTCTAGGCAGTAAATACAGTCAAATATGCATTTGACTATGATAACATTTTTTCTGGGGCAGGCTTTGACACAAGCACCCTCTTGGCTATCTAAAACTCACTTTATAGACTGGGCTGACCTCAAATTTACAGAGATCTACCTGCCTCGACTCCTAAGTGCTAGGATTAAAGGCAAGTACCACTACTACTCTGATATGTGCACGTACACACACATTTTTAACTTTTTGAGCCTTTGTGGATTTTACAACATACATCCCAATCCTACTCATCTCCCCATCCCCTCGGAGCAAGGCTGGTTCTCCTGCTCTCAGGCTCTTGGGTCTTCCAGTCACATATTTTTAACTATAAGTCTACCTAGGTCTGGATTACTCAACTAGAAAAACAAAACTGAAACAACCAAAAGCAAACTCCATTACTTAAAAAGGATCAGTAAATTCAATAAAGAGATACAACTTAGCTGAATGGCTCAGTGATTTAGGGTAGAGCCAAACATAATTGACAAAAAAATCAACGTAATGATTCCTAGCATATTCTGCTATATTTATAGGTTGGTACCTAGCCCAGTTGTCATCAGAAAGACTTCCTCTGGCAGCTGATGAGAGCAGATGCAGAGACCCACACCCAAATATTATGTGGAACCCTGTGGAGGAGGGGGGAAGGATTGAGCTAGAGGAGTCAAGGACACCAGGGGAACACAGGCCACAACAGAATCAACTAAGCAGGCCTCATGGGATTCGGGGAGACTGAAGCCGCAATCATGAAGCCTGCTTTGGTCTGTTCCAAGTCCTCTGCGTACATGCTATGGTAATTTGTCTTAGGGTGTTTGTGTGACTCCTAACAGTGGGAGGGGGCTGTCCCTGACTCTGTTGCCTGCTCTTGGCACCCTTTCCCTACTGGGTTGCCTGATCCAGCCTTGATGTGAGGATTTGTGCCTTGTCTTACTGAAACTTGTTATGCAGTGTTCTGTTGATATCACTGGGAAGCCTGTTTCTTTCTGATGGGGAATGGAGGAGCAATGGATCTGGAGGAGATGGGGTGGAGTCAGGACTGGGAGGAGTGGAGGGAGGGAAGGCTATGGTGGGGATGTATTATATGAGAGGGTAATAAAATACTAAAAAACACAGGTTTAAAGTTGATGTTGGCTTGCCAACCTGGGTTACAGTGAGGCTTTGTCTCAGTATAAAGTATCCAGCATTTGGATAAATACAGTGCCAGGCTGGTTGTGTGGGAAATACAAAGAAATACACAATTCTGACTTTTGAGTCATGACATGGTAGAAAAGAAAAATTGTCTATATTTAACTGCTATGTTAGAAACCACTAAAGGAGGCAGGAAAGGTTTTAGTGTGGCAAAAGAGTTGGACGTAGACAAAGCCAGAACAGGACATTTAAAAATGAACAGAGTGAAAAGTATGGTGTAATAAGATGGGAACAAATTGGGCTGACAGTTAGGAAGGTAGATTTAGAGCTATGTTCCAAACTCAGCTTGTCATAAACTATAGCCTTTAAAAGCATGGATGATTTGTATAGCAGATTGAAGAAGGGTTGTTGGAGGGTCACAGTTTGTGACAGTAAATGAGGAAAAACTTGGGGAATGAATAATCTAATGGTGGAATAGTTTCATAACCCACAGACTGACAGTAATTCCCCATTCTAATAATAGAAATAGGCAAATGAGCTCTGTAGTCTTCAGGTGACTGACACATGAGGATATGGGAATAAGAAAGTAAGTAAGTTTGTCAAAGGAAAATATTCTTTATTTAAATAAAAACATGTTAAGATGACAGTTGTTTAAAAGCGGAGATTTTCCTAAGGTTAAAAACATCTGTTTTCTGGCGTTTTAATTTGCAAAGTCTCCATCAGTTTTTCTGACCTGTAGGGAGAAAGAAAAAGATTGAAGTAGTGTAATTTTCGCAGCTTGAGGTGTGCCAGAAGCGTTTAAAAACAGCCTTTCACAGCCTTTTCTCCAATATCTGCTCTGAAGCCCCTAGGACTTTCCCTGTATCCTATTGTGATTTGAGGGAACAGAATTACATTAAATTTTTTTCTGGGCATTGAACTCAGGAACAAGTGCATTTGAGGCAGGAGCACTATGAGCTAAATCCGCAGACCAATATTTTAATAAATTATTTTTTGAGATGGGGTCTTATTTTGTAGTCCTGGCTGGCCTGGAACTCATTATGTAGACAAGGGTAGACTTGAACTCAGGGATCTGCCTGCCTCTGCTTTCCGAGTTCAGGGATTAAAGGTGTGCACCACCACATCCAATAGCTTTAGGTTTTTTTTGGGGGGGGGTTGTTTTGTTTTTAGGAAAGGTTTGTCAAAGAATCTTTGAACGTTTAGGTCCCAATGTTAAAACTTTGATGTTAATCTGACAAAGGTTACTTTACCTCTTCCCCAAGACTTGTAGCTATTAGGATGTTTTTCAGCCACAGCCTCTTTTAGGTCTCTTGAGTCACTGTAGGAGAGAACCCCAAGAAGAACATTAATAGGAAGCAGGAACAGGGAGTGAGCTGATATATCCAGTTCCAGGTAACCAGAATAACATTATCTATCATGACTGATATTACTCAGGGTTATGGTAGGAATCATCTGATTTCAGTCTTTTGTTTCATATGGTTCCTTTATGCCTTCGATTCTCATGTGCTAGGTGATACCATCACTGGCCCCCAAAACCCTTGAATGTGCTCTACAGGCTTGTTTGGCTAGGGATCCTGAGCTATTTGTATATAGATGGTCCCCTTAAGTCCGAGAAGTTGGCCTTTTATTCTTTACAGAATTATGTTGTATATACAAGGCCTTGATGGAATATCGTCCCAAGGTAACTATTGAGAAGGAAAGTCCCCAGAGCCACACACATTTTGTGTGTGTGCCTATGTGCTTGAGGCCAGTGTTAGATGTTTCTTCAACTGTTTCCTACCTCATTTAAAAAATGTAATTTTATGGTATATGTGTGTTTTGTCTGTGTACCACATGTACGCTTCATGCCCATGGAGGCCGGAAGTTTGATTCCTGGAACTGTTACAGATGGCTGTGATCTTCGGTAGATGCTGGGAATCAAACCTGGGTCCTCTAGAAGATCATCAAGGACTCTTAACTGATGAGCCAGTGTGTGTGTGTGTGTGTGTGTGTGTGTGTGTGTGTGTGTGTGTGTGTGTGTATAGGTTAGAGGACAATTTATGGGAGTAGTTCATCTACCATATGGGCCTTATGGATTGAATGCAGGCTGCCAGGCTTGGCAATAAGTACCTTTAACCCACTCGAACATCTCACTAGACTTACATCTTTTTTACTTATTTGATATGAGATCTCCTACTGATCCTGGAGCTTACCGATTTGATTAGACTATCTGGATAGCAAGTTTCAGGGACCCTCTTGCCCGATTCCTCAGTGCTCTGACTACAGGTGCATACCACCATACCTGACTATTTTATGTGGGCCTGGGAGCTAAATTCAGGCCCTCATGTTTGTGTAACAAGCATTAACCAACTGAGCCACCCCACAGCCCTGACCACAAATCTTTAAAGTTAGTGACTAAAGCTCAGGCATTTTGAGCCTATGGTGTAATGGCCATCTTCCCTTTAAATGTCCATCTTTAGGACTGGTAAGATGGCTGAGTGGGCAAAAGCACATATTGCCAAGCCTTACAACCTGGGTTAAAACCCAGAATCCATGGGGTGGATGGAGAAAACTGGTGACAACGGGTGGTCCTCTGACCTGTCCACAAATATCCTGGCCATTCGAAACAAACATTTAAAAAAGTCAAACCCTCCCTGGGGAGTGGGTGGAGGGTGGGATGGGGGGACTGTGGGGGATTAGTATGTAAAGTTTTTAATAAAAATTTATTGTAAAAAGAGTCAAATTTAGCCAGGCATTGGAGGCTCACACCTTTAATCCCAGCACTCTGGAGGCAGAGGCAGGCAGATCTCTGAGTTCGAGGCCAGCCTGGTCTACAGAGAGAGTTCCAGGACAGCCTCCAAAACAATAGAGAAACCCTGTCTCGAAAAAACGAAAACAAAAAGAGTCAAATTTATTTCCTTGAATGATGGTGATAACACATAGTCTATCTTACCTTTCACAAACCAGCATTTTTGGAGCAAAAGTCTCAAGAACAAATGAAGGAGAATGACTCGTGTAATCTAGAAAGTGAAAAGTGGGGAAGAAACAAATTCTGAGCATTTTCAGATTGCTGGTAGTAGAGCTCTTCTCAGTGTCTCCTGTAGCCGTTTCTGGGAAGGCGCTGCATTGCCAGGGGCCATGTGGACACCCCCTTACATTTAGGTGTCCTTATGTGACTGCTTTTGCCAGGGAAATGTGATGGTGAGTATCTTCTCACACTAGGTAGTCAAAGGCACTTGTACCTTTCCATTCTCCTTTTGTGTCATCTTTGGGAGCTAAATGTGGAAGGCTGATAGCCACAATATAATACAAGTTTGTATCTTCAGGTTATTAGTCACTAAATTCTGTCTTAGGGTTTTTATTACTGTGACAATGAGCAAAAGCAACTTGGAGAGGAAAGGGTTTACATCACTTACACTTCCAGGTACCAGTGAGTCCTGGAGACAGGGACTAAAGCAGAGGCCATGAAGGAGTGTTGCTTGCTGGCTTGCTCAGCCTGTTCTCTCTGTCTCCTCTCTCTCTCTTTCCTCTCTCTCTGTCTCTTTTTCTTTCAAGACAGGTCTCTCTGTGTGATCCTGGCTGTCCTGGAACTCACTTTGTACACCAGGCTGGCCATGAACCTCCAGGGATTCACCTGCCTCTGCCTCCTAAATGCTGGGATTAAAAGCACGTGCTACCTACTGCCTGACCTTCATCCTGCTTTCTTATAGAACACAGAACTACCTGCACAGGAGTGGTACCATCTACAATGGCTAGATCCTCCAACATCAATCGCTAATTAAGAAAATGCCATACAGGGTTCCCTATACCCTGATCTTTGGAGGCATTTTTCTCAGTTGGGGTTCCCTCCTCTTAGATAATTCTAGCTTGTGTCAAGGCGACATAAAACTAGTTAGCACAATACTTGATCTGAGATTTTAAATTATGACATTAACATAATTTAGAGTTTATATTATAGGAAGAAGCATTATTCTAACATACTCTGGATTATTTTTATTGCTTTACAGTGCTGGGGATAGAACCTAGACCTCATGAATACTAGGCAAGTGCTGATCTACAGCCCTTTTCTATATACAATTATTAAGTTTGGTTATGAGGCAGCTTTTTATAGATAAACATTTAAAAGATGTGTTTCAAGAAACAGATTCCTTTAATAGACAAACCTAGTTTGAACTGAAGCTGGTGAGGTGTTATTTATTTGTTTAGATATAGGAATTTCTCTGTGTAGCCCTGGCTGTTCTGGAACTCACTCTGTAGACCAGGCTAGCCTCGAATTCACAGAGATCCACCTGCCTCTGACTTCCAAGTGCTGGGATTAAAGGCATGCAACACCACTGCCTGGCTTAGGGAAGGGTTTTTGTGAGATAAGCATAAAGGTTTATTATTGAGGACTGTTTACTGTGTGCTAGCTCTAAAGAGCACTTCTGCTCACAGCTGTGTTCAGTTCACCCTTGCTCACCCACATTCCAGACATCAGGGTCATTAATCTGATTGCCAGCATTGGAGAAGCTTTCATCTCCTTCAGAACTTGGGTGAGTAATCTTTTGAAGATCAAGTGGCTCTGAAACAAAGTAGAAGAGAAGGTATTGAAGTAGAATAGGCAATTAAAATTTTTTATCTGCTCTGTTTAGCTAAGGCTTCTAAGATATGGGGATGTAGGAAGCCATTGAATTTGGCATCACCTACCAGTTCTCAAGTGAAAAGCTTACCATCATCAACTGCAGTTCTGTTGACACAGTTGGCCTCATGTTCCTTAAGCCTTTTGATTGGGACCACATGACAAGCATTATATTTGCAGTTAGCCATCTTTTTAGCTATCTTTGGATTTTTCTAGAAGGAAAAATTCTTGTTAGGTTTTGCCTATTTCTATTCTCCACCCATTTCTGAAAATGCTGATGATATATTATGTTTCAACTTTAAGAATGACTAGTTTCTAGTGAGTAGAAGCAAAAAGCAAAACCAAAGATCTTTATATTCAGAAAAATTTTTCTCTCTTGTAATTCACAGCTATTATTGGGGAAACTTACCTTTTTGCATGATGCCAGATGGTATTGTAACCTGCTGGCTGGTATCCTGTGGTTTGGGTCATAAGGACACAGTTCTATGGCTTCTAACTCCATTAGTCCTAAAAGACAAGAATCGTAGGTTGGAAAAGAAAAGATTACTACTTAAGATCAGGTTGTTTTGATGTAGGCCCGTTTTCTATTCTTAAAAGCAATGTGGTATTGGGGCTGGAGAGACGGCTCAGCAGTTAAGACTGGTGTCTGCTCAATCATGAAGCCTGGAGTTCAGATCCCAGCACCCAAAAGCAATAGTTTAGCTGGATAGACCATTTTGGGAAGCCAAAATTTAACATTATACACACTCATAGGTTGCTTTAAATAGAGTGCTTACTTCTCAAATAGAATATTAAACAGGCAGGAATCCCTTGAAATATCTGACCATGATGAAATTCAACATTTATACACTAAAGCATGACTCGGGGAACTGGTTCATTAAGTGTTCTCCCCTCCTTCCAACTTTTCTAAAACTGAGCTACTAATTGTCAGATAACTCAGCATAAGCACTGAGAAGGAATCAGAAGAACCACAATATAATAATGTCTGAGTTTAGGCCACTTACATTGACCTGAGAATGCTAGCCTGAAATCTCTAAACTTGTGGATATTAGCATATAAAGACTCCTAGAATTAAGCTAAAAATAAACCATCTCAAAGCTGCTACATTTTACTGCCAATAGGAGGCCCACTCTCCCCTATGGCTTTAGCCTTTAGCTATTCAAGCAGACATTCATTTCAAGGACTTCCAAGTTTCCAGGCAACAGCTATAGCTGAGATTTCTGCAACACACTGATGCATAGTGTGGTGGTGGTGGTGGTGTTTGTGTGACAGAAAAAAATCAAGGCAGAGTGGCATAAGCAATCGGGATAGAAAAGTGCCTAGAATAGCCCATTTCTATTTGGTTTGCACCATGCCTAGAGCATAGACAAAGGGCATAGAGGTAGACTGTTTAAATGTCAGATTTTCCTGATGGCATTTTGGTGATTAAATCTTGGGATTTAGACCCAGGTAGTTTTTGGGAACACAAGCCAGAGTGATTCTTTATGCCTTCATTGCTTATTAATGATTATATTTGAGCCAGAGATACTTAAAGTTAATTGATTTTCTGGGAAATTAAAGCTAATAAAATCCATTATCATATATGACTATCTTTAGATTAAAGAAAGATAACGGAGCTGGGCAGTGGGGGTACACAGGCCTTTAATCCCAGCACTTGGGAGGCAGAAACAAGCAGATCTCTGAGTTCCAGGACAGCCAAGGCTATACTGAGAAACCTTGTCTTGGGAAACTAAAAAATGTTAAAAAAGAGAAGAGGCCACAACTGTGATAGAGGCCATTTGATTGAACATATCAGACTCCTCAAAGCTACCTTCATTCTTAACCTGGCATAAGGAAGGTGAGAGCTACCTTATCCTCCAGGCACTGTCCCTCAGTCCCAAGGGACGGGTCAATGAAAGGTTTGAGAAGACAGAAAGCACAGCACCCTCCACTTAGCAAAGGAAATCAGCTTGCTGTCCAAGCTCTCCGTTCAGGTCCTCTCCTCCCACCATAGGTTCTGTGTTTCTCAGAAGCTTGGAAAGTTTTGATGTCATAGTGAGGCCTTAGAGAAGATTCTCAGTCTGGTTGCATGTGGGAGTTTTAAAGTGACAGATCCTTCAGGGCCATCCCAGAACACTGGCTCAGAATCTTAAGAGTGCAGGCTGGCAGACTGTGGCTTTAAGAGTTCCTCAGGGGATTCTGGTTGATAGTTACTAGGTTACTAGGCTACTGCCACCATTGCTAGGCTGTGTTTTGGGGTAATTAAATATTTTTAGACGGGTTCTCCAAGTTCACAGAAGGAACTGAAGTAGATATAATCTTTTCAATTATTATTGCCACAATAAGCCCCATCTTTCAGCCTGCCCCCCTTCTTTTGGTTTTTCAAGACAGGGTTTCTTTGTATTGTTTTGGAGGCTGTCCTGGTACTCACTCTGTAGACCAGGCTGGCCTCGAACTCAGAGCTCCATCTGCCTCTGCCTCCCGAGTGCTGGGATTAAAGGCATGTGCCACCAACGCCCACCTGCCCCTTTTCTTTATGGGGAGCCTAATATAGAATTCCACAGAAAGTGATAGGACAAGGTCAGTACACCTTCAAAAATTAAAATCTTAATTTATTTTTGGTGTATTTAATACAATATACTAGGCCCTCAGCTAAACACACACATGTACCAAGTCATTTAATCACTTCCAAAAGTTGTATAAACGATTCTCATCATTTAATAGATTAGGAAAACAAACTCAATGAGGATAGCCTAAGTTACAAGGCTTATAGGTCTCAGTAGCATTGTTAATATTGCTTGAGGTAATACATGTAAGAACATTGAAATATCAGATATGCAGCAAACACCGAGGTTATCACTTTACATATACCAATCAACTTAATATAATAGCCCCATGAGACAGAAATTATCAACATAGTCATACTTAAAGGTACACAAACTGGATCAGCTGGCAAATGGTAGAGTAGGGATAGAAAGTCAAGCTACCTGAGTCTAGACTCTGGGCTCTTAGCCACTAAGTCTTAAGGCTCAGCTCGCTGTACTGAGCTGCGTTAATCACAGTCTGGGCCTGCAGTGTGGGTTTTGCCTCATACCAGCTTCAATAGCCTGGTGTTGGCAGCCGCTGGCAATTTTTCACCGAAGGTGGGAAGGGAAGATGAAATGGGCATTTAAAGGTAGAACGTAAGCTGGTCAGGATGGTACACACTGTAGTCCCAGCATTTAGGAGATGAAGGTGGGAAAGTCAGGAGTGCAGGGTACCCATGGCTGCATACTGAGTTTTAAGTCAGCTGGGGTTCTGTGAGAATGAGTAAAACTGGATAAATGGAGGCAGAACCTGATTTGGATGTAAAGTCCATGAGTGCAGACCCAGGGCTGTAGGAATTTAGGAAGGACCGGCCTTAGGACTGTTGAGCAAGACCCTGAAGCTTGAATAGGATTTGGCTCAGCAATAGGAAAAGCATATATAAGTGAAGGCAGAAATAAACATAGCACACTCCCAGGAGACAGAAACTGTGCTCCCCATGATCGGGGAGTATGTGCTAGAGGTGGCAGAAAACAAGATTGGTTTGGCATAGAGAATCTTTAACTAATTTATTTTTTTGGACAAGGTCAGGAATATAAGCGAGGAAGAGGAAGCAAAGATACTCACCCGGTGAAGGCTGTGACTAGGCTGTTAAGTTGCCTCTGACAGCCTGCTATTTATCCTCTCCCCTCAAGGTAAAATAGAACCCACAGACCTCTTCAGTAGAACCTGGGTTTCCTTGATTACAGCAGGTGATTTAAATCTTCAAGGCCCATATCATGTTCCTCTGGGCCATAGCGTTTAAGGCTCCTATAAATAAACGAAGGCAGGGTCTCTTTTCTAAAAATGCAAAGTATCCCTCAGAGATGGTTAAGCACTTGATCATTTTTTTCAAAACAAAGCAAGCATGCTAAGTTCTTTAATAATAACGTTGATCATCCCTGATTACTTCCTCCCACCCCCACCCAGGATTTTAGCCCCATACGAAAGCTCTGGGTATAGAAAAAAATGGGATTATTAAATAAGCAGAGAAAAGGCTGTGGGAAGAAGACAAAGACATTACTGACATCGAACTTTCTGGGGGATCTTTTACTCTCTGCCTTGAAAGAAACTTGAAGTAAGCTGAAAGTTTGTTTAGGTAGAGGGTTGAGGCTTGTTTGGAATATAAGAATTATCTCAGTGCTAAAATTTATTAATTTTCTCTTGTTAATTAATCTGGCTTTTCATCATGGCGCTTATTTTTTATCAATTTAGTCTTAAAAATTCAATAAACTGGCCGGGCGGTGGTGGCGCACGCCTATAATCCCAGCACTCGGGAGGCAGAGGCAGGCAGATCTCTGTGAGTTCGAGGCTGGGCTGGACCGATAGCCTCCAAAACAATACAGAGAAACCCTGTCTCGTAAAAACCAAAAAAAAAAAAAAGTCAATAAACTATTAGTGTTATGTCTTTGTTTTTTAAAGACAGATTCTCAGGCTTGGAGGGCTCTAGCAGGTTTGGGCGTGGCCAACACGGCCCTGGCAGGCCTTGTCCTTTCTTCTTCCCTTTCCTTGTAAACCGTAGATTACATCCCTAAAGCTAGCCACCAAGGCGTATTCCCTTATTTGAACACTTTTTTGTGTGTATTTTTTTTTTTTTAGACTGGGTTTCTCTGTGTACGCTGGCAGTCCTTGAACTCATTCTGTAGATCAGGCTGTCCTGGGACTCACAGAGATCCACCTGCCTTTGCTTCCCGAGTGCTGGGATTACAGGTGTGCACCACCACTGCCCAGTTACAACAGGCATTCTTGATGGGGACATAAAAGGGAAAGTGTAGAGGTGTATGGGCTGGTAGCCGGTATTTGTCTGGTGTACGCTTCGTCTGGGCCAAAACGGTTGGTGCCGCTCTATGAGGAGCTCTGAAAGCCTGGTCCTTTCCTCAGCCTCCGCCCACCTCCTACCGAAGGGCTGCACAACAAGAAAGAGGAAGTCTCCTCTGCTGAGCGTGCAAGAGGAAGCTCGAGAGGCCTCCGAAGGCCCGTGAGCCTGCTATCCCCCATGAACCAATTGCACAGGCACCCGGAAGCCTGGTGCACCAACCAGGCTGGGTCCTTCGACATAGAGGGTGTTGCCACCCAGGCTGAGAATATTCGGGGCGACTGGGTCTTGCTATTCGGGTGATTCTCTCTCTAGGTGGTCATCATGTCTTTGACCACTGCCTACCAGCATAAATTAGCAGAGAAACTCACAATTCTCAATGACCGAGGTCAGGGGGTTCTCATCCGCATGTACAACATCAAGAAGGTAAGTGTGGGCCCTTTTATCGAATCAGGGCAGGAGCCTGGAGGCCTAGTAGGCCCGATAGTCAAGCCTCCCTCGTTTGTCTCCACTGCTGTAAGTGGCTTTCTCCCACTGAGACAGAATAGGTCCCTCAGTTTGTGGAGGTAGAGGGAGGCTTTCTTTGAAGGCTTGCCCTTTCTAGGTGTGATCCTTGCCTTTCTGCGGGCATCGTCTTTCCCCTAGGACGAAGGGTCGGCGTGGGAATGGGGGTAAACATATTTGTGTTCTCAGTGATTTGGATAAGGGTCTGGGATCTAGAGTTTTGGGTCTATTTATTGCTAATTCCTCTACTTTTTGAGATTTCAAGCTGGGTTTCTGTCCAAAACATTTATGTGGAATAATTTCCCTAAATGGATTTTTAAAAGAAATCTAAGGTCCTTTGTGGCTGTACATGCTGTGTGTGTGTATGCATGCTTAGGACAGAAGCTATGATATTGAGAGGTGAGTCAGGGGCTGGGCAAGCTGTAGGAAGTAGAGATAAAAGTGGGTAATTTTGCGACCCTCCTGGGAGAGAAAAGGGACTTATGGGAAGGGACATTTGTGCACTTGTAGTAAAGCACCAGGAATATGGGTCCTGCATCCTCTTGCCGTCTATAAGAGCCTCTTGGGGTGAGTTTCTCACGAACTGGAAAGAACTGTGACACTGAGCTTTATATAAAGTCCAACTTTGGAGCAGCCACTTTTCTTGATACTTCCGGCTTCAGTGAAGGGGTGGGGAAGCAGCTTCCTCTCTGTTAGAGTCCAGCCTCTGTCAAGACAAGATGCCAGGTGGTTAGTTCTCAGCGGTGCTGGTTCATAGTCTGGAACTTGTTTCTCACATACTCTCATGCTTTTATAATTCCCAGATATTCGGGTAGAGGTGTGTATCTGAGTGAAAATATAGTACGGTGGTTTTATTTTTTGTCTGTGCAGACCTGTTCAGATCCAAAATCTAAGCCACCCTTTTTACTGGAAAAGTCCATGGAATCAAGTCTCAAGTACATCAACAAGAAATTTCCCAACATAGATGTCCGAAACAGCACGGTGAGAATGTGGGCCCATTTCCCCCCTTTTCTGTAACTTTTATTTATTTATTTATTTATTTATTTATTTATTTATTTGCATGACTCAGATTCTCCACTTTTGGCTGCTTATCTTCAGGTGCAGCTGTCTCTTAGTTTTCCTAGGCTCAGATACAGGGCTTCAGGTGTTGAGGATTGTGAGCTCAGATGGGAGTCTCCCATGGTGAGCTGGGCACAGCCTTGTGAGTCAGGTTCATGAGGACACTGGAGCTCACCAAGAGGCAGCTGCATTAGCTTCAAGGGCACATCTTTTCCTGTAGTTCCTGATGCCCACACTATGTTCTTTACTGCTGGGTGCTATGCATCCAGGGCAGATCCTATACGCCTCTCTGTGCTAGCCCTGGATTTCTCATACTCTATACAAAGCGTTCTATACCCCGCTTCTTTTCCTGTTGGTTTATAAAGCAAACCTCCTCAGCTGAAAGCAAACTGGAAACCCCCTTTCAGGTAGCCTTCTGCTTGTAATGAAAATCACATGTGGCCATCAATTGAGACAGAGAATTCCCGTTTAGTGACTGGAGAATCCTGACAAGTTTCTCCCTTTTAAGGAGGATTGGGTGATTAGCTGGAGAGATGGCGCCATGGCTAAGAGCGCCTGAGTGGTACTCCTGGTTGTTAGTTACCTGGATCAACCATTTTTTATTCTACATGTCTCTGTTTCATTTGTATTTCTCTCAGCAACATTTAGGACCAGTACATCGTGAAAAAGCTGAGATAATTAGATTCCTCACCAACTACTACCAGTCATTTGTGGATGTCATGGAATTCCGGGTGAGTCCTTTGTAGCCAGTGTTGACGGCTGAGCCTTCTTAGTAGGTGTTCCTTTATGTTGCTTGACTCAAGTTCTTGAAAGAAAAAAGGAGAAAGATACTGATATGCCATGACGTCTAAGTTGTGTTGCTAATGAACTATATATGAAATACCATATTTTTACTTCAAGAGATACATAAGGTGGATATGGTTGGTGGCACACACCTCTAGTCCCAGCGCTTAGGAGTTAGAGGCAGGGGAATCAGAAGTTCAAAGTCATCTTCAGCTACATATTGAGTTCTAACCTAGGCTAACCTGGGTTACATGAAACCCTGTTTCAAAAACAACAAAACAAACATATCAAATAGTGTTAATATATTACACTAAGTACTTTTATACATCAGATCACAATTAAATATATTTGGTGATGGATTATGGGTGGCTTCAGTTTACTGAGTCACAGTTTTCCCAGTGTTCTTTAGTTATGTACGTGTGTTGTGTGTGCACTTGCAGGCACCTTTACGCCAAGCAGTGGGTGTGAAGGTCGGAGGACAACTTTGGGAGTTTGGTTTTCTCCTTGCAGGTCTTACTATTTCTGCTACTGTGCCTCATATTTCAGATTAGCTGACCCATGAGCTTCCCACCCAGTCTGCTATCGCTGCCTCCCATCTTGCTGTAAGAGTGCTGTGATTACAGATGTGTGCCCTTGTATCTGTGGGTTCATCAAACTTGTGAGGCCAATGCCTTCACCTGCCGGTGGAAACTGTGTGTGTGTGTGTGTGTGTGTGTGTGTGTGTGTGTGTGTGTCATAGCATGGGCATGGAGGTCAGAGAACACACTTCAGGAGTTTGTTCTGTTTCCACCTTGTTAAGCCTTGTTTCCCTGGTCCCCTTTGCAGTTTTCAGTGTGATACACATACCATAAAATTTACTACCTTAACCATTTAAACATACAATTAAGTGATATTAAATATCATCATAATACACAGCTATCTTTTTGGGTTGTAAAACTGACATTCTCCACATTTTTCCTGTCCCTCGGCCCTTGATGATAACCATTCTATTTCTGTTTTTATGATTTTAAGTATGCTGTTTTGTGTAAGTGGTACCTTTTGTATTTTTGTGACTGGCTTGTTTAACTTAGTAGGGTGTGCTAAAGTTCATCCATGTGGTAGAATATTGGAGAATTTCCTCCTTTTTTTTTTTTTTTTTTTTTTTTGGTTTTACGAGTCAGGGTTTCTCTGTATTGTTTTGGCTGTCGGTCCAGCCCGGCCTCGAACTCACAGAGATCCGCTTGCCTCTGCCTCCCGAGTTGGGGGATTAAAGGCGTGTGCCACCACCGCCCCGCTGAATTTCCTCCATTTTAAGACAGAACAAATTCCATCCTGTGGTTATACTCTGTTTTTCTTCCCTATTCATCCATCAGTGAACTCTTGGGTTGCCTCCACGGTTTAGATGTTGTGACTAATACTGTTATGAATGTAAGTGCTCAATTGCCTTTCAGAACTTGGTTTTAATTCTTCTTTGATATTTCCATAAGTGGAACTATTGGATTATGGGTAATTCATTTTTTAGATTTAATTTTATTTATTGTTACTCGTGTGTGACTGTGAGTATGCATGTGTCATGCTATGTACATGGGGTCAGAAGAAAACTTCAGGAGTTGACTACTATATTATTTTCTTTCTTTTTTCATAGTGGTTGTACCATTTAATTGCCTAACATCAGTACACAAGGGATATATTTTATCAACATTCTGATATTCTGATCAACAACTTTTGTTTTCTATTTTTTGGATAGCGGGTATCAAACCTAAGATCTCACAAATATTAGGCAAAGCTCTACCACTCAATTACACCCTTGTCTCATTGCTGTTGTAATTTGTCTTGATAATTGGCAATGCTGAGTGTCTTTTTTGTCTGTTTTTAAGCTTTTCAAGACAGGGTTTCTCTGTGTAGCCCTGGCTGACCTGGAGCTCACTCTGTTACCAGGCTGGTCTCAAACTCAGAGATCTGCCTGCTTTTGCCTCCCAAGTGCTGGGATTAAATGTGTGTTCTACCACTGTCCAGCTTCCTTTGTTTTTATTGGGTATTTGCATATCTTCTTTGGAGAAATATCTCCTTTAAGTTCTTTGTACATTTTTGAATCAGTTTTGTTTAGTGTTTGTTGTTGAGTGTTAGGAGATTTCTATATAGGCCACACCTTTTTTATATCAGGATTTCCTCCATATTTTATTATAAACACAGTAAAACATTTCAAATGTTAGTTTGGCTTGGTGGTATAAACCTTAATCCCAGCACTTGAGAGGCAGAGACAGACAGATCTTTGTGTTTGAGGCCAGCCTGGTCTACAGAATGAGTACCTATCTGAACTACTACCTGAAGATGGAAATAATGCTATCTGAAAAGGAGGTCTAATATATTTACTAAATATAATTACAAGATAAACAAGGATAGAAGCTCTGGGAACATGGCTAGCTTCCAAGAGAGAGTGCTTTTACTTTTTCTTAAATATCTCACCTGTTCTACGTACCCTTGTCCACTCCCCTTTAGGGCGTGAACAGTATTTTGGGCTCACCCCTACAACTACCCCTGCCCCCCAAATAGTAAATGTAGTCCTGGTTGCTCATCTCTATTCAGAAGATCTGAACTCTGGAATACTCTAACATCTGAAACTTCTTGAGCATCGACATGACTGCTAATCTGACTATGTGACCAGTTATAGTCAGAATACAAGACTATAAAAAGTTACATAAAGTTATCTTTAGGCTATTAATTTGTTACTTTTCTATTGTATAGAAGACACCATGACCCAGGCAACATATAGAAGATACAGTTTTCGAGGGAGAATCCGTAAGAGCAAAGGAAGAATGGCATGGGTGGGCAGAAAGCTGAGAGATCACATTTCAATAATAATCTCATTCAAACCTACAGGCCATGTACATGAGATATGCACAAAACATAAATGAGTTGTGTGCTTGGATTTGGATTCCATCCCCAAGATATTCTATGTATACATGTAAACATTTCCAAATCTGAAATATATAAGATCGCAGACACTTTTGGTCCTAAGCTTTTTGGATCAGGGATAGTCAACCTGTATAATAAATGCTGCTTTTCTTCTGGTTCTCCTAATTGTTAATATTTTGCCATATTGCTTGTCATTCACTTTCCCCTCAAACCATTTAATTATTTGCAGACATTATGACATTTCCTTCCCAAAATATTTTAGCATACATCTGTTAAGGGCAGGAATATTTTCTTACATAATCCTATTACAGTTACCCTGCTAAGGAAATGTAATATTCCATGATATTATTGGCTAATACAGAGTCTATATTTGCACTCATTTTGTTATACTAATTCTTGCCTTTGTCTTTCATGACCTGACCTTTTGAAGAGTCCAGGAAAGTTGTTCAGAATGTCTCAGTTTGAATTTGTCTTGTTGAAAGCTTTAGGCAGCTGTAGCACATAAGTGATATTTTGTTTGGCTTTTAAAGGATAATCATTTATTGCTTTTGGAAATTAAGGAAACATTAAAAATTATTTCACATAGCATTCTGAAATGCAAATTGGAATGCTTTTCAAAGATGGAAAATTAATGGATACTTCTAGAACTTATCTTAAAGAAACAGAAGTGCAAAGACACATGTACAAGAAAGTACACTTGTTGTGTTGTTTGTAATAGTATCGATTTGATAATTGATTTAGCCAACAAAAATAGAGATTCAGTTAAAAACTTAGGATATATGGTTGTAAACAAATATGCAGTTAGAGAGGATAACGTATGTTTACATTAGTTGGCATGCAAAAACATTCCTTACATATTGTTTAATGTTAAGAAAAAATTACAATACAGTTTAAGATATAATTGTTTCTAAAATGTATATTTACATAGATAAATATGTATATAAGGAAGATTGGAATTTCTGAGTGGTGGGATTATGAGCGTTTTAAAAAACTGGGGGTGGGGGACTGAAGAAATGGCTCAGTGGTTAAGAGCACTGGCTGTTTTTCCAAAGGATCTGGGTTCAATTTCCAGCATCTACATGGAAGCCCACAACTGTCTGTAACTCCAGTTTCAAGGGATCCAACATCCTTATACAGGCAAACCAATGTACATGAATTGAAAAAAAATCATTAAAAATAACTGGGGGTGAAAGGGGCTAGAAAGATGGCTTAGTGATTGAGAATACTTGTTTCCCTTTCAGGGGACCTGGGTTTGGTTCTCAGCACCTATAATTTCAGTTTCAGGGGATCCAACAACCTTTCTGGCTTCCACAGACACCTGCAAACACATGGTACACATAATACATGCAGGCACACACACATACACATAAAACTTTTTTAAATTGGGGGAGGGGAGATGACCTAGTGAGTGAAGTACTTACCACCCAAGTGTGAAGACCTGAGCTTAGGCCCCAGAACCCAGGTAAAACGGACATACAAGTTTGTCTTTAATCCTGATGCAACTAAGGTGAGTCAGGGACATTGATAGGATAATCTCATGGTAGCCAGATGTTTATGCCTTTAATCCCAGCACAGGCAGATCTTTGTAAGTTTGAGACTAGCCTGATCTACATATTGAGTTCTAGGCTAGTAGGGGACTATGTGGTGAGTCCCTGTCTCAAAAGTGGCAGCAAAAGTCAAACAAGACCCCAAAACAAATAAACACACACACACACACACACACACACACACACACACACACACACAAATGGCAATCCTAAACAGGGTGGAAGTTGAGAACCAACAACAAATTTGTCTCTGATCCCTACATTCTTACTGTAACACACGTATGTTAGTACTCACACACAAGAACATGCATGTATAGACAACATACATAGGCCTTTGAACACAGATTTAAAAACAAACGATTAATTGCTGGGCATGGTGGCTCATGCCTATAATCATAGCATTGGAAAGACAGAGATAAGATCATTGTGTATTTGAGCCAGAGCTGCAGTCTCTAAAAAAATCTAAACCCAACAAATGAAAGTAAAAAAGCTAATAGCTTGATGAGGTATCAGAGGTCTATAATCCCAGCACTCAGTAGGCTGAGGCAAGATCAGGAGTTTGAGGTCAGCCTGTGTTATAGCAACAACACCATCCTAGTTAGAATTAAACTTGTCTTCTGGGTGGTGGTGGTATACTCCTTTGATCCCAGTACTCAGGAGGCAGAGGCAGGCAGATCTGCCTCTGCCTCCTGAGTACTGGGATTAAAGGCCTGCGCCACCAACACCCTGCTTGTATTTTCTAACTTGTATAGATTCAATATGTGTTATTTTTCCTTCTTCCTCTTTCTGTCCCTCCCTCCCTCCCTTCTTCCCTACCCCCTTTACCTACCCCCCCCCACAGACAAGGTTTCTCTGCATAGCTTTGACTGCCCTGAAACACTCTGTGTATCTCAGGGTGGCTTTAAACTCAGAGCTTCGCCTGCCTCTGTCTCCTGAGTACTGGGATCAAAGCAGATGCTTGGCAATTCTTATCCTGCACTCCTGGTCCCGGGCAACTGTTAATTTGAATCCTAAAATGATGTTTTTTTTCTAAAGGTTCAGGTTAATGGAGTCTGGTCAGCATGTATTCTTTTGTGTTGTGAGATTCATCTATATAGTTTCATGTACCAAAGATTCACTACTTATTTTTGCTAAGAACCGTTCCGTTGTATGGCTACAAATGGTTAATTTATTTACTGGTTGGTGGGTTGCTTCCAGATTTGAACCAGTTTGTGTAAATTGCTATTAAAGGCCAACTACAATGTTTGTAGGGATGTGTTTTTCTTTTCACAAGGGTGTTGGATCATATGGCAAAAATATGTAATGTTTTTGAGCTTTTTAAATTTTTAAAATCATGTACATTATGCAAGTGCCTGGGATATAGTGTGATTATTTGATATATGCATACAGTGAACTGTTGCCAAATTAGAATAATTAGCATTCCTATTTTCTTAAACACTATCACGTCTTTGAATGGAAAACTTTCAAAGTCCTTTCTACTTGTTCCTCAGAAAAGAATGTCTTTTTTATTTTTTAAACAAATGCCGAACTTTTAGCTGGGTGTGGTAGTGCACACCTTTAATTCCAGATCTCTGTGAGTTCAAGGCCAGCCTGGTCTACCAAGTTGAGTTCCAGGACAACCAGAGCTACATAATGAAACCCCGTCCAAAAAAAAAAAGTCAAACTTGAAAGTTGTTTCATTTCCCCTTGTGGGGAAATGGGGCCCAGGGATGGTAAGGCAGGCATTATGTTCATGAGCATCAGTGCCTGTGGCCTGTGGCACCAGCAGGTAGCCTGACGGGGGAGCACTGATGGCTTGTGAGGAGGAGGACTGTCTTTCCTCTTTTGAATAATGTCCTAACTTAAGGTAGATCTCCAGGGCCCCTAGGGAAGTTGTTCACTTCCTGTCTTGGTGGCACACATCACCTTCTTCTTACTCATTTTCTTCTCCCCTTCTACTCCCAGGATCATGTATACGAACTTCTCAACACCATCGATGCCTGCCAGTGTTACTTTGACATCGTAAGAGCCTTTGCAATGTTTTTCGACTGAAGAAGAGAACTAAAGAAAAGGCCAAGTGTACACCGAGACAAGGGAGGGCGGGACAGAATTGGAGGAATGACTGTTTATTTGCTCCTGTTCGGAACTGTGGTTCTCTTTAAAAGTTAAAATATGCATTTGCTTTTTGTGTGTATGTACGTGGGAGGGGGTGTGTGGTCACATACCGTAGCACATGTGTGGAAGTCAGAGGACAACTTGTGGTAGTCAGTTCTCTCTTTCTACCATGTGGGTTTCAGGAGTCAGATTTAAGTAGTTGGGCTTGGCAATAAGTGGTTTTTACCTGAGTCATTTTGATGGCCTTAGGCACTGTAAATCTTTTTAAAAATGTGCTAAGGTTAAATGCTTTTAAATAGTAAGTAGATCATCAATATGATTTAAATAACACTAAATTATACAGCAGTATTTTTTATTTCATTTTCTTCAACAGTACCATATTTCCTTGTTTCTTTGTATCCTTGTTTGTTTGTTTGTTTTTCCTACTGTGCTTTGAAGCTAGGGCCCTGTGCATTCTAGATAAGAGCTCTACTATGACTTAAATTCCTACTTCTCTTCCCTTGCTTCAGAGACAAGGTTTCACTGTGTAGCCTTGGCTGTCCTAGAACTCTTCTCTGTTGACCAGGCTGTCTTCCAACTTAGAGATCCAACTGCCTCTGCCTTTTGAGTGCTGGGATCAAAGGTGTGCACCACCGCTGCTATTTTTAAAAACTTTTATTTTCTTCTTTTTATTTTTTAATTTCAAGACAGGGTTTCTCTATGTAACTCTGGCTGTCTGGAACTTGCTCTGCAAACCAGGTTGGCCTTGAACTCAGAGACCCATCTATCTCTGCCTTCTAAGCGCTGTTTTTTTTTTTTCAAGACAGGGTTTCTCTGTATTGTTTTGGAGGCTGTCCTGGAACTCACTCTGGAGACCAGGCTGGCCTCGAACTCACAGAGATCTGCCTGCCTCTGCCTCCCGAGTGCTGGGATTAAAGGCATGTGCCACCAATGCCCAGCCCAAGCACTGGTTTTAAGAGTGTGCATCACCATGTCTAGCTAAACTTCTTTATTTTGTGAGAGCCTTACTAATTTGTTCAAGCTGGCCTGAAACTTGTAATTCTTCTGCCTCAGTCTCCTGAGCAGCTGTGATTATGGGTCAGTGCATAGCTCAGGTTCTCCAGAATCTTGTTTCAATTTTCTTCTGAAAACACCTACTATTGGTTCCTACTACTAATAGACATTGAGTCTCTTTAGTAATGTAGGGAATGGGTTGGAGAAGCAGGGGGTGGTCCAGGTTAATTAGCCACGCTGATTTTGGGATTCCTGTGTATTTTCCTTGTAGAATCTCAACTTTGACTTCACTCGGAGCTACCTGGACTTAATTGTGACTTACACCTCAGTCATTTTACTCCTGTCACGGATTGAGGACCGCAGGATACTCATAGGCACATATAACTGTGCCCATGAGATGTTGCATGGGCACAGGTGAGTTAGGAGGAGGCAAAAAGAACCTCATATGTATCTGGCAGTGGTAGCACACCCCTTTCATACCGTTAGGGAGGCATAGGCAGGTGGATCTCTGAGTGGAAGCCAGCCTGGTCTACAGAATGAGTTCCAGGACAGGTATGGCTGTACAGAGAAACTCTGTCTCCAAAAAACCAAACCAAACCAAACCAAACCAAACCAAAACTAAAAACAACCAACCAAACAAACAAAAACCCAGAAAGAGCCTCACATGTGGTGCTGCAAGAAGTAGGTGGAGACAAAGGAACTTGATATGATTTCTCATGTAAAAACCTATAACCCATGTTGTCCCAGGCAAAATAAGATTCATGTTCACATATAGTTAACCACTGAATCTCTGCCAATGGATTATCCACTCTGAATTATCTCTCATCTATTTATAATCCTGGACTGGCTTCTACTTTGCTTTTCAGGTTATTATAAAAGGCAACGGCAATTTTTTTTGTTTTTAGTATTGGTGGTACTAATACCAGTAGGGTTAAGCCATTAAAGGTAAGTAATGTAAGATAATACATACTAAGGATAATTGGAAGACAAATAGAAATGGATGTTGGATTATCCAAAATTCTGTCCTCCATTTATTAATGCAATATAAGTATTTAAAGGGTAAAAAAACTGAAGACTGGAAATATGTGAGTGAGACATAGCATGGTGTCCTGTATGTGACGTGCCTTCCCCCAAGTCTGTATGGGTGTCTTGGCACAAGCTTTATCTAATAGATAAGCTTTGGATGCTTATCTCTCTTTTGAGATTTTCAGAGATTTGGACCTAGGCGTATTTGAAACAGACTAGCAGATGCAAAATTATAGAGTAGCTATTATACATTCAGCCCTGTCTGCCAAGAAGGGAGAAACTTCCATGGATCTGTCCAAAACCATGTGGTCCGTCCTTCGTTCCTTCGTTCCTTCCTTCGTAAGACATGGTTTTCTCTGTGTAGCCCTGACTGTTCTAGAACTTGCTCTGCAGACCAGGCTGGCCTCAAACTCATAGAGATCTGTCTGCCTCTGCCTCTCTAGTGTTGGGATTAAAGCATGTGCCACCACTGACAGCTTTGTATGCCTACAGTTGGGCGTCAGTATATGTAATTCACAGGTTAGCATATCTATCTTTGGAGGGGATGGGGAATTCCAGCGTCTGTACACATATGTGCTGTCCTCTACACATATGGAAAGGCCCATAACTCCCCTCTCTTCTGCTTTCCTCCAGTGACCCCAGTTTTGCTCGCCTGGGCCAGATGGTATTAGAGTATGACCATCCTCTGAAGAAGCTGACTGAAGAGTTTGGACCTCACACAAAGGTGAGCTCCCTGAGCGAGAGGAGAGTCATCCAGGCAGAAGCATTCATCCCATGTTTGACATTAAGGATTTATTTTTTCCCTACAGGCCGTGAGTGGAGCCCTCCTCTCTCTGCACTTCCTCTTTGTTCGGAGGAACCAGGGTGCTGAGCAGTGGCGCAGTGCACAGCTTCTAAGCCTCATCAGCAGCTCCCCAGCCATGATTAACCCTGCCAATTCAGACACAGTGAGTTCCCCTTTCCTTCTGTTAGGAGAGTTATTCTCTGCCAAGGCCCTCTCTCTGGAAGGTGTTTATTTTGGGAGCCATCAACCCCAGGACTGTTTTAGCCTTTTTCTAGGGCCTGCTTCTTCTTAAGCTAAAACTGATATTGTACTTCTGATTGAACCAGGCTTAGTATGTGCCTGAATTAACAAATGGATGAAACTGTGTGGTGGGATGGTACATATGCTAGTGACCCTGGCTCCTGGGAGACCAAGGCAAGAGGACTGTTACGTGGCCCACCATTGCCAGCCCTGCTTATATAGCAAGTATCTGGCCAGCCAAGGTTATAGTAAGACTTTGATTGAAAACTCAAGCAAAAAAGAAATGGAGTCATTAGGCATAAGAAGGAAGTTGCATAGGAGTCAGTGGACCAATAATGTTGTTATTCACCTATGATGGGCCTGCCATCTTTCCCTCAAAGAATTTATAGTCCTGGAAGGAAGATACGCCACAGAAATGCAACTGATGGCAGGGCAATCCTGTGATCCTAGCCCTCGGCAGGGAGAAGCGGGAGGATTGCCGAAAGTCTGAGGCCAGCTAGGACTGTACAGCAAGAACTTGTCTCAAAAGACCAAACACAACGAAAGCATGTGGGGTGAGGTGGTGTGTGAGATAGATGATAGCTCTGCAGTTGTGAGGACCTGAGTTCAGATTCGTAGCAACTGTGCAAAAGCTGGGCGCACTGTCGTGTGTGTAATCTCAGCACTGGGGAGTGGAGATAGGCACATCTTTGGAGCTTCTGGTCCAAAGCCAATCAGCCGTGAGCTCTGTGTTCAATGAGCAACTCTGTCTCAGAAATATGAAGTAGAGAGTGATTGAGGAAGATGGGTGACGTCACAACTACGCATAAACACGTTCACGCACAAATTTACAACTGTTGCTGAGAGGTCATGGATGTGCTCTAAATGAGTGTTCACACTTCAAGAGCGATTAAAGGACACAATGCAGGAAGAAATCATGAGATTTTGAGCTGAAGCTTTTTGAAAGTACTCAGTATTGACGAGCAGCCGTGCTGTATGCTTATTTGTTCCTCCTTCCAGTCCGGCCTGGTTCTTTTCCTCAACCACATCCTTTGCCTCGCAGACTCCGTCCAGGGCCGCCTTTCCTTCACGGCAGCTTTCCTAGCTGTTGCCTCCTCAGAGTGCCTTAATCCACTCTAGTAAAAGAAATGTGATTTTTGTTTGGTTTTAGTGCTGGGATTTCATCCTGAGCCTCGTGCATGCTCGGCATGAGTTCCCCTGGACTTTTTTTTTTTTTATTTGAGACAGGGTTTCTCTATGTTGCTTTTGGAGTCTGTCCTGGAACTCGCTTTGTAGACCAGGCTGGCCTCGAACTCACAGAGATCCACCTGCCTCTGCCTCCCGAGTGCTGGGATTAAAGGCATGTGCCACTACCTCTCGGCTCCCCCCAGACTTTAATTTAAAAAATTTTAAATTACATTCTTCTTATTTTTCTTTTGTAACCTGTGGGTGGAGCACGGAGTACAGAGGTCAGAGGATAACTTTTGGGGATCAGTTCTGTCTGGTCCACCGTGTGGGTTCTAGGCAGGAAACTCGGGTTATCTGCCATCTCCTTTAACCTCTTGAGCCACCTTGCTGGCTCCGTCCTTCTTTAGAAGTCCTAAGCAGCCATTTGATCCCCTCTGCCTGCTTCTTGTAGATGGCCTGTGAGTATCTGTCTGTGGAAGTGATGGAGCGCTGGATCGTAAGTAAGTTGTGGGAGCAGCTGTGATGGGTATGGCGACACTCCCAGGGGTGCACTGGCTAAAAGCCCTCCTCTGTTCTTATCCACTTCAGTTGGCTTTCTTCTTTGCCACGGGTGCCTCAACTCCAGCAGCCAGTGCCAACAGCTGTGGAAGCTGTGTCTGCAGGGCTCGCTGTACGTCACCCTCATCCGGGAGGATGTGTTGCAGGTGCACAAGGTCACCGAGGACCTCTTCAGCAGTCTTAAAGGGTGAGTGACTTGCAAGTTAGATGATCTTTTGGGAATTATAGCCTAATCAGTATCCCTTTCCCCAAAGCATGAGTGGTAAGGAGTAATTCTAACTTTGAAATATTTGCCCATCACCTACTCTCTGTTGGTGCCTCACTATATATTAGGGATAGAGAGATTACTAAGATATTGTGAGGTCAGATTGCCTGGTTCGAATTCATGTTCAGCCTCTTTCTGGCTGTGTGACCTTGGGCAGGTTACTTAATTTCTCCATGCCGTTGGCTCAGTTCCCTCATCTGTAAATTTTGGCTACAGCAGTGTCTCCCATCTGGTTGTGGTGGTGGTATACCCTTACAACGCCAGCACTCAGGGAGGGGAAGGCAGGAGGAACAAGACTTTAAGGTCAGCCTTGCTTGCTCCACAGTGATTTCCAGGCCAGTGTGGACTACACTAGACTCTACCACAAAACCAAAACAAAACAAAATCAAGTAGGCACAAACAAATCACCAAACCACAACAGAATGAAGCTGTATCTATGATCTCATAATGTTCTGAAGAGTTCCCATATGTAAAGCACATGGAAAAAAGATCTGGTACATTGTATTGTGCACTTGTTTTCTTTTCTGATGTACTGAGTTGACTTTGGTGGCACACACCTGTAACCCCAGCACTCAGCATCTGAGGCACGAAGGTCAACGTGGGCCACACGGTGAGACCTTGTTAAAATAAAAAGGAGCGTCTGCTGAACTGCTCAGAAAAGCTTATCTTTTTAAGCGTGCTTCCCCTGACACTGTGAGCTTCCTACTCTTTCCCTCAAGTTTACTCTCGCTCCTTCTTGTCATGAGGTTGCTTGTCTGCTGTGTGTCTAACCTCTGTTCTAACTCAGATGGCCCAGCCCTTTCTGTTCCTCTTAGAGATTTTCTCCCTTTAGCTGTGGAGATTTACAGCTTTCCTGCCGCGTCCCCCTTTTCTTTTTCTCTTAAACCCTAATAAAACTGTCCTTGATCTTAAAAAAGTAAAAGTTTACAAACCGTTGGAAAATAGGCAAATTTGTGGTAGAGTAGGGGGTTGTGGTGTGTAAACACAAAGTTGTGTAAACAGGAAGGGCATCGAGGGACTTTGCACTGGCTTTGCAGGATCTAAAGAAAACAGGAGACAGGTAGACAATTAAACAGTTGCAGCAAAGAAACTCAGCCTTCCCGCCCCCTCTCCTGTCCCTCTTTCTTCTCTCTCTCTCTCTCTCTCTCTCTCTCTCTCTCTCTCTCTCTCTCTCTCTCTCTCTCTCTCTCTCTCTCTCTCTCTCCCTCCCTCCCTCCCCCTCTCTCCCTCCCCCCCCTCTCTCTCTGTTTCTTTTTCTTTCTTCGAGACAGGGTTTCTCTGTGGCTTTGGAGGCTGTCCTGGAACTAGCTCTTATAGAACAGGTTGGTCTCGAACTCACAGAGATCCGCCTGCCTCTGCCTCCCAAGTGCTGGGATTAAAGGCGTGAGCCACCACAGCCCGATTCTCTTTCTTTCTTTTTAAGACAGGGTTTCGCTGTGTAGTCCTGGATGTCCTAGAACTTTCTATGTAGACCAGGTTAGCCTCAAAGTCACAGAGATCTTCTTGCTCCTGAATGCTGGCCTTAAAAGGTGTTCACCACCATACCTAGTTCAAAGTTCATAGTTTTTTTTAGGAAAAAAACAAAACCCAAAAAACCAAAAGACCAAAAACAAAAAAACAATGTGCTCAGAGGTTCAAGTTGCTCAGTGCTGGGACAGCTTGGGTTACAAGGTGGGGCTGTGAAAGTTGGTTTTGGAACAGTGAATTGGGATGTCATAAACTCTGTCTTAAGAGTTTGAATCTGTGCTCAAGAGGATCCGGAGTCATTGAATGAATTCAAACGAGGCAGTTGAAAGGATCAGATTTGCATTTTAGAGAAGATTACTGCTCCAGGGGAAAAGATTAGATGGGCAAAGCTAGAGGCAGGGATTAATTTAGTAAATTAGGAAAAATTGAGGATGTCAAGATCTCTGGAATGGGCATCTGGTCCTCCTTAGGATGAGACATGAGAGCTACAGTAAGTGTGGGGAAAGACTGTGATTCAGTTTCTTATTTTTAGACTTTTAGTTTATTTTTATTTTCTGTGTATTAATGTTTTGCTTGAATATGTGTCTGTGTACCATGTGTGTGTAGTGCCCTTGGAGGCCAGAAGAGAGTATCAGATCCTCTGACCCTGGAGTTGGTTGTGAGCTTCTATGTGGTGATTAGAACCCCCAGAGTGCTGTTAACTGCAGAGCCATTGTTTCAGCCCTGTGGATTCAGTTTTGAACTTCCTGAACTGGAAAGGTCTGTAGCACATACACGTTATGTACGTCAGGCCTTTTGGAATGTGGTTCAGTAACTAGTCATGCTATCTGGACCAGATGACATCTGGTGACTCTGTTATCAAAGCCATGAGCATGAGTAGGTGGGACTGTTCAAGAAGAACAGGAACAAAACTTTTGGGAACACTGATATTTAAGGGTCAAGCAGAGGCAGGAAAATCCATGATGTTCATTGAGGACAAAAATCAGGTCACTGGAAGAAAGCATGGCAAGAAGGAAGGACCCTTCACCATCTGCTAGATGGTGTGACGAGAACAAACACGGGAGTTGGAAAAGTTCACTGGGTTTGGCTACAGAGGTCATCTTTGTGTTCTGTGGACAACCTCAATTGAGTAGTGAGGTTGCAAGTTGGTTTCAGGAGGTTTAGCCGAGCAGTGGCGGCGCATGTCGTTTATCACAGCACTCACAAAGCTCTGCCTGCCTTGCCTCCTGAGTTCTGGGATTCAAGGTGTGTGCTTTATAGGGCTTGAATCTCCTATTGTGTGTCCGTACGTATGGTATGTGTGTGTGTGTGGGGGGGTCAGGGCTTGCATTGTGAGGTCAGAAGACAATTTTGTGGAGTCTGCTCTCTCCGCTTTTACATGTGTTCCAGGGGATGGGTCAGAGGTCACCAAGCTTGAAGAGCAGGGTTATGCAACTCCCAGATTTCCTGTTGATGGACCCTTGAACTATTTCCACTTAAAAAGATCATTTAAACAAATGCTTTTGGTTTGAATGTTTGTTTGTTTGTTATTTGGGAAGAGGGCTCTCTATGTGTCTGGATATCCTGGAACTCTGTGTAGACCAGGCTGGCCTCGAACACAGGGAGTTTCCCTTCCTCTGCCACCCAAGTTAAACAGATGCTTTAGAGAATATCCATTGACATATTTTTTTGTGAACATATTCAAATGTTTCTGTAGGGTAAGTTCTCAAATTTTTTTCTCTGCCCTACCCCCAAGGTAGGGATCAAACCCAGGGTTTTGCATGTGCTAGGCAAACATTCTACCTCTGAGCTATATCCCAGCTTGTATTTTAATAATAGCTTTTTGCCAAATTCTGCCCCCCATTGTCTTATTCACAGTATACTAATGGGTAGGATTATGGTTTAGAGGTAGAAGGCTTGCCTAGCATGTGCAAGATCCTGGAGTTTAATCCTCTGCACTGAAAAGAAACAAACAAAAATACCCCCCTAAACAAAACAAAACACAGTAATGATAATACTGGTTCCCCAACAACTGATTAGTAATATTGTTTTTAAAAATAACCAAAGGGCTGGTGAGTGGCTCAGCAGGTGAAGGCGCTTGTCACCAAGCCTGACAACCCGAGCTCCATCTTTGGAAACCACATGGTGCAGGGAGAAAACCCTCTCCTAAACATTGCCCTCTGACCTCCACCTGTGTACCACGGCATGCATACACTTCAACTTCATAAATAAATATACAGATAAACTACTTTAAAGTTGCCAAGAGGAAAATAGGAAACATTTAAAAGAACAAAACAAAAGAACAAAGAAACAAGAATATAGTAAAAAGAACTCATTTCCAAAGTTAAGAGAGAATGAGTCTTTAAAAGGAGTCATAGGAAAAGAAATGTATATTTGAAGTTTTTTAGCGAGATGGAAAGCTGTTTGGTTCCTATCACTAAGGACAGCAGCTAAGAGGTATTATTTATAGTTAGGAAGCTCTATGATCTTTATGATAACTTAGGTATACATACATGTAATATACATATACATTCATATGTATGTAAATGAGAAGACAGGAGGCTCACTCTGAATATCTCTCAGTGAGAGGTGGGAATATGAAATAATTGTAGATTTTTTGACTTTTAATCTTATATCTGTCTCCTGTACTGGATACAGGTTGAAATAATTATCCATTAGCTGTGCTGTAGAGTTGAATCCTGATTTAATTAAGATAGTTTTCAATTCCAAATGCCTTTGATTTCTATGCTCAGTTCAGTAAAGGAGAGGCTTGGAGAAGGGAAATGAGAGGTTATAAAATCTCCTCATTTTGGTGGCAGCAGCTTACAGAGGATGAACGAAGTTAGTAGGAGTGTGGAGAGCAGAGACCACTTAGTGTGGGATTCTGGGCACAGGTCTCTAATAGAAAAAAAAAGATATGGTCAAATATTGCAGACGAACCACAGCAATAAAAAGGGTTATTTAATTTGGTGATTCAAAAGTTCACATTGACCTCAGAGGAATGGATTGTTCAGCGTTGAGATGGGAAGGGTCAGGGAAAGGTGACGAGGGAAAGGAGTGTGTCTTGGAGGAGCTGGTGGTGTGGGAGAAGGTGAAGTCCAGGGTGTCGGGGTCAAGCGAGGGTTTCCAGAATAAGAAGGCTTTGAACTTGGTTATTGCCATAGGAGAGTAAGCCAACAGAGGGAGATAAGAAGTGACAGATAACTGGCGAGCTAAATATCAAGACAAAGTGGGTGGGGATGGGACCTGGGGTAAGTGGGTGGGAGTAGGGTGGTGGTGGTGACAGTTTTACTTACAAACAGGGCTGGTATCTGTGACTCCCTTCCTTATGCCAGTCAAATCTGGAAGAATGGTTGACTGGACCCTATCCAGCGGGAGTACAGTGTGAGAAAAGTGTGAGCACTGCAAGCCATTTCCTTCCCACAGTGGTGTGCTGTTTTCTTCCCTTTTCTTTGTCTCTCCTTTCCCTTCTTCTCCTAACTCCATGCCCTCCTTCTTTCTCTTTTGATAGGTTCTCTGTATATATTATCCCTGGCTGGCCTTAAACTCACGAATTTACTGCTCTGCCTCCTGAGTGCTGGGATGACAGGCATGCATTATCACACCTTGGCTCCTGTAGTCATTGTCTTTGCAGAATGAAGCATAGAGCAGGATGCTCTCTAAGCTGAGCGTCTTGTTTGTATAGGGTGAGAAGAATGGGTGAAAATCCTGCTAGTTAACTGGTGGCATGACACCCTCTGTGCTTGATATGTCAATCTCCAGGTACAGTAAGCGAGTGGCAGACATCAAGGAGAGCAAGGAGCATGCCATTGCAAACAGGTAAAGTTGGGACATGTGCTCAGAAGGGCTGGGATAGGTGTTGGCGTTTAGGCATCTGTACAGTCTGCCCTTGGGGTTCTGACAGGATATGTCCCCAGCTAGAGTCGCTAAGAGCACCACCTGTGCACATTCACTATAGTCCTTTTAAAAGGAACCTCCCATCTTTCTTTTTTCTCCCTCTTTCTCTGCTTCTCTGTTTCTCTGCCTTTCCTTCTCTCTCTTCCTCTCTATTTTTCTGATCCTGTCCCCAGAGGCCAGTCTCCCCTCTCCCCTCCCCGCTTTTCCTATTAACTTTCCTCCAATATAAAAACCCTCCACCCAAGAAGTTCCTGCAGCCCCACAGATGCTCGTATTTTCTCTCCAAGTTTGAGTTTAGCACTGAGCCTTCATTCTGCCTGACACCCCTCCCCAACTCAACTCTCTTCCGCACTACTTCTGGGGAACTTGTGAGGGAGGGAAAAACAATATTCACTACTTTCTTTCAGTGGCCAGTTTCACTGTCAACGTCGGCAGTTTCTTCGGATAGCTGTGAGGGAGTTGGAGACTGTGTTAAATGATGAACCAGGCCTGCTGGGTCCTAAGGCAAGAGAAATGTTGGGGGAGGGATGGTGACCAATGACTATGTGGGTGGTGACTTAGCATTCCAAGTCCCCCTTCTGTGTGTGTGTGTGTGTGTGCGTGTGCGTGTGCGCGTGTGCGTGTGCGTGCGTGCGTGTGTGTGTGTGTGTGTGTGTGTGTACACATGCATGTGAGTATGTGTGAGTGTGGAGGTCAGAGAACAACCTCAGGTGCTATCTTTAGAAGCTATCACCTTGGTTTTTTGAGACAGTTATCCACTGACCTGAGGCTCATGCATTAGGCAGGGTCGACTGACCAGTGTGTTCAGGGATCTGGAAGTCTTCCTGAGCACTGGGATTATGAGTACATGCCACCATGCATTACTTCTTTTTACATGGGGTCTGGGGACTGAACTCAGATCCTCATGCTTTCATGACAAGCACGTCATCCATGGAGCTACCTCTCCTGTCCTTTCTGCACCTCTTGTGATCAATTTGTATGTGTCTGTGCTGATTCCATTACTCCCAAAGCGTCCAGATGCTTCATGTCTTCCCTTGGCCCCATCACAGAATGCCATCTAACAACTACTTGTATACTTGGCCTGTCTTCTATTTGAGTGTAAACTAATTGATGACAGAGCTTGCTTTCTGTTTTAAGTCACACATTAAATATTTCTAAAATTTAATTTTGTGGGGAAGAAGGAATATTGACTGTGAGCCAGGGCCAACATATGTGTGTCTGATTCTGTGTCACATGGTTCAGCTTTCTGTGTGCTTGTTTCTAGATGCTATTGGTATGACTACATAATTATATCCACATACAAGCTATTTTCAATAGTTTTCTCAGTACTTAAAACCCATTTTTTTTTTCCTGTTCTGGAGATTGAACCCAGAACCTTGTACCTGACAGGTAGTCACTCTATCAAGTAAGCTTTAGCCCCACACTAAAATCCATTTTTTAAGTGGAAAATTCTAATAGATTTTGTTCTCTTTTAGGCCCTTTATGCTTTCATGGCCCTGTCTTTCATTCGTGATGAGGTCACTTGGCTGGTTCGTCATACAGAAAATGTTACCAAGACTAAGACACCCGAAGACTATGCTGACTCGTTAGTATTTGCTTAAGAACCTTGTCCTTAGACTGGGAGAAGGGACAAGGGGACATCAAATGGCCCAGAACATTGCAATCCCTGCCTTGTATGACTGTATGTCTCCATTGTTTCTGTTGATGTCTGTCTCTGTCCTTGTCCTCGTCTTTCTTTACAGAAGCATTGCAGAGCTTCTCTTCCTGCTGGAGGAGATCAGGGCTCTGGTCCGACGACACATCAAAGTGATTAAGCAGTACCATGTCCAGTACCTGGCGAGGTTTGATGTCCTTGTGCTCAGCGACATCATTCAGGTATGTTCCACGGATGACACTTGGGTAATTTTTCCTTCTGGAGCCGCTACGACTGAACGACTGTAGTTTGGGTGTCAAGACGCTGGTGTACACTGAAAATGAGTAGTCTCAGCAGATTTCTTCCCCCTAGGAAGAGGAGAAAAAAATAAAGAGAATTGGAGCCTACGTGGCAGGGGTCCTGGGCAGTGTTGTCTGTTCCTTCTCTGCTTTGGGCATCTGGCAGTTCTTCTGCCTTTGTATACTGACTGAGCCTGTGACCGCACTTTCCATCCTGGGGAACCTGTGAGTGCTGACAGTAACCCCTGCTCCTCCTTTAGAACCTGTCTGTGTGTCCAGAGGAGGAGTCCGTCATCATGTCCTCATTTGTTAGCACCCTGTCCTCTCTGAATCTCAAGCAAGGTAACTGAAAGGAGGTGAAGGTGTCGGGGCACTTTTACAAGGGCTAGTTTGGTTTTTCTGGAAATGTTGGTCTGTCAGCCAGAGCTCTGGGTAAGAAAACTGAGTGGCCTGCCGTTCTGTTTACAACAAGGTGCTAGGTGCTGTTTAATCATTTGCTTCTGTTTTTATAGTTGATAATGAAGAGAAATTTGACTTCTCTGGATTGAGGCTGGATTGGTTCCGCCTACAGGTAAGGCTCTTGTCCTGTGGTGGCCCCCATCTACAGGTTCCTCATCTTCTACAAGTGTCTCCCCCATTTTTTAATTTCTTAAACTCTGCTTTAGAGACTAAGTAATCCTTGAAAACTGCTGACTAGACAGGACAGATTACAGCCCCAAGGCTCCACTTCATCCCATTTATCTTGTTTTTCTCCCCAACTCCAATCACAGGCATATACCAGCGTGCTGAAGGCACCTTTGCACCTGCGTGAGAACCCTGACCTAGCCAAGGTCATGAACCTCATCATCTTCCACTCCCAGATGCTGGACTCCGTAGAGAAACTGCTGGTGGAAACCTCTGACCTTTCTATTTTCTGGTGTGTCTCAGTTCTGACTTAATTATCAGTCCATTTGATCTCTCTGTTTTTTGTTTGCTTGTTGTTTTTCTGAGACAGGGTTTCTCTGTAGCCTTGGCTGTTCTGGAACTTGCTCTGTAGACCAGACTGGCCTGGAACTCAGAGATCCACCTGTGTCTGCTTCCTCAGTTCTGGGACTAAAGGCGTGTGTTCCCATGTTTTCTTGTAAACTTTTTTAGTTGTTTTCTGCTATTGTTGTTTTTGAATTTTTAGGACATTATAATTTAAAGATGTATTTTTATTTATGGCTATGAATGTATGTCTCTGTGTATATGCCCCTTGTGTATGGGTATCCACAAAGAATGGAGGAAGGTTCTGGGTCCTCTGGAACTGGAGTATCTGATATGAGTGCTGGGAACTGAACCTGGGTCTTCTGGAAGATCAGTAAACTCTCTTAACCACGTAGCTATCTCTCCAGTGGAGACATTTGGATCTAAAAGACATGAAACCAGGTGTGGTGGCAGATATCTGTAATCTCAGCACTTGCCAGGTAGAGGAAAGGAGGATCAGAGATTCAGAGGTCATCCTTGGTTGCTTACTGAGCTAAGGGAAAGAATGGCTATCAGGAAACTGTCTCCAGAAAACAAACAGGAGTACTTGAGTGCCTCCAGGAGAAGGATTGCTATGAGTTTTAGGCCAGGCTAGGTTATCCAGTGAGCCCCAAAAGACCTTGTCTCAAAAACCCAAAATAAATAAAAGAAAACATGAATGTTGTGGAAGTTTAGTATTGGAAGAGTAAGAAATTGCTGAGAGGATTGGAGAAAAGGACTGTTAGAGAATTAATACTTAATTGTTCTCAACAGGTGACATTTGACAGTAATTAGTTGACCACTGTGATGTGTAACTCTCCACCATTGTCGTGACTGCTTTTTGCAGTTTGTAGAAATGGAGAGCTATAACACGCACACACTAACACACATAAGCATAGTGCTTGTAAAGGGAAGGCAGTCTCATGCAATTAATCTAAGTGAGTTTTCTGGAGCCCAAGCGTTATATTTCGAGGGGAATGTGAATTTGGAACTTCCGAATTAGAGGGGATGGCCTGAACCAGGCAGTGATTGTCAGGAAGGAACTGTGAATTTTGTTCAGGAAAGGGAAGGTTATCATTGTGTTGCCCTGGAAGCCATTGTAAGACCCTGGAATGGTTAAGATTCTTTGGTTGTCTCCTACCTCTAGGATAGAAACTAGGAGGGAGTGCAAATAGAACGAAGAAAGTTGTTGAAAGGGTCTGGTTCTAAGTCCTGGTGTCCAATCTTCTTTCTCTGCAGCTTTCATCTCCGTACCTTTGAGAAGATGTTTGCTACGACACTGGAGGAACCTTCCATGCTTCGATACACCATTGCATTCCCCCTGATTTGTGCTCATTTTGTCCATTGCACTCATGAAATGTGCCCCGAGGAGGTGGATATCCTGTCTTTCACTCTCCAACATCTCTCTAGTCATGTCTCTTCTTTATTTCTCAGAACACAGTTCCAGGGGTTGGTTTTGATCCTAGGAAGGGAACAGGCAGGAGTATGTGGATCTCAGTTTGGTACAGAATGTATCCTCTCTGTCTGGTCTCTGTTTCTTTTTCCCTTAGAGAGGATGGCTCAGACAAGGAGTGAGGGCAGTGTGGGGAACGGGAAGTGGCCTTCATGTGATTGCTTCTCCCTCTCCCACAGTACCCTCACCTGAAGAACCATGGTCTTCACCACTGCAACTCCTTCCTGGAAGAGCTGGCCAAGCAAACCAGCAACTGCGTGTTGGAGATCTGTGCTGAGCAGCGGAACCTGAGCGAGCAGGTGGCCCTCATCCTGCTTCAGTCTCCTTTCTCACCTCAGTGCCCCTTCCTCTGGCCACCCTTGTTTCTCTCTCACAGGACACACTCTCTTGAGAAGCGGTAGGGTTTTGTGAACTTCGGTTTATGGTAGGATTCCTCTCTCAGTATGTTCACTCCCAGGCACTCTCTTGGGTTTGGAATCCCCACGTACAACCTTTTGACATTGTGACGTGGAATAGCTATCTACAAAGTTCATGCTGGAGAACTCCACAGCCGAGTTACAAAATGGCAACCACATACACAGAAAGTCCTAATGTTTTAAGTGACTTTGTGATTTTGTGTTATCCTTGGTTGCACAGGACCTGTGGTGGTAGCTTGGATATGCTCAGTGGATAGAGGCACTTAAAAACACTCTTGCTAGAACAGTTAAATGTCACTCAAATCTGTGCTCCATTTGAAGAGTTTTGGGAGAAGAACTTTGTCTTCTTTGCATGGTGCACACATGCTTAAAACAATGGGCCCTGATTTCTGTCTTGTCTAATCTTTCTGTTCATCAGCATCCCAGTTTACAACTTTACTGGACATTTTTAAGCACTCCAGTACTGATCTCCAGGGTTATATTCTTGCCTTCTGTTTTTTTTTTTCTTTTCTCTTCCTCCCTTGACTGACTCATAAGACCTGGTCATGATTAGATCAACCTACATTTCAGAAATTCAGGAATAAGAAGTTAGTTTTGCTCTTGTCCCCAGAGTCTTGAATTTCCCAGACTACCCACCCTTCCTGAGACTGAGTCAGAATAGTAACAACTTTGGTAGGAGAGGAAATAAGGTGTGTGTGTGTGCATGTGTTGGTACATGTACAGTATGTGCAAGTTTGAGTACAGACAGATAGTAACTGTATTTCTCAGATTTTTCATTTTCTAATAGTAAAGATAAAACTACTTTCTTCACATAGGTATAATAAGGATTAAATGAAGTAGAGCACACTAAATATTTGGTGTATATAGCAGTCAATAAATGTTGGCACTTGTATTAAGGGAAGTTTAATGAGCACTAACTTCTTAGGTTTGGGGTGTGAGGATCAAGATGTAGGGTACATGATCCCTGTCTTTGGGACTCTCCCGGTTTAAGGGGAAAGGACGTACAAATACATGTTGAAAGAATGTAAGTAAGTGGTGCACAGAAGACATGCAAATGAGGACACTCACAGCTGTATTCACCATCCACATGCATGGTAAACAGGCTTACTCAGTGCTGTATCAGGAATGACTAAGTCTTGTGTGAATAAGTGTTTGCTCATACAACTATTGTAAGCGAGTAAGTGTTGGCCCTTCAGAGTTAACATTTTCAGTAAATAATTATTGTTGCCATTACTAATAGGGTTATATCTTTGGATATTGATTTATGAATCAACCATAAATACTTTCATATTAGTGTATCTCCCTCCACTAAAATAAAAATGGATTTCATTTTATTTTAACCAACTGAATATGGATTTAAGAATAGGGAGTGTGACTACAGACTAACAAAATGGATTTTCTTGTTCTAAAAGTCATTCCAAAGTGATTCCCTGAGGCAACTTGGGTATCAAGTGATGGCTAGTATTTTCTGTAGGGCATAGAAAGATTCAGGATTGATCTTTGAACTAGCTAGCAAAGAATATACATATACACATATTTAAGAAAAAGAAGAAACAAGGAAAGAACATTGAACACAAGTGAACTTTGAGAATTTGGAGGGCCATGACAGTCTGAGCAACTATCTTCATGAGACAGACTATACAAAGGTACAGCCTGTGGGGATGATGTTTTATCTAGCAAAAAGTATTGTTTCCCCATGTTGAAACCCTACAAACAAGGTAAGTGGAGCTCTCAGCTCTGACTGTTTCTCATTGGATTTGTCTGTTAGAAAAGGGCTCAGATGTGGGTGGGGGAGCAGCGCTCTCATCCTGGAAAAACACTACCATCTTAGGACTTGAGGCTGTATGTGGGGGTATTCATGGATGCTGAAAGAGGTGATCCCATTCTCAAAGGTCCCATTAGAGGAAGCAAAGCGAGGTGCGCGGGGAGAGGAGCAGGCAGTGAGGGGAATCTTCTTAGAGCTGTGAGCAGTGACACTTGTCTCTCCCTCCACTGTGTGTGCCCCAAAGCTTCTCCCTAAGCACTGTGCCACCACCATCAGCAAAGCCAAGAACAAGAAGTCCATGAAGCAGAGGCAGGCTCCCAGGAAAGGAGAGCCTGAGAGGGACAAGCCTGGAGCAGAGAGTCACCGGAAGAACCGCAGCATTGTCACTAAGTGAGGTCCTGGCTCCTGCGGGCCAAATGGGTGCTGCATTAAAGGAGGCAGAAAAGGAAGGGGGGGGGAGGTGAAGCAGGGGAGAAGGCGGAGGAGGTGGGGGGGGTCAACAGAGACAGGAAGGCACCTGTGTGTGAGTTTTCTACTTGATTTTGAAGGACATCACTGTGTGCTAGTCTAGGCTGAGTGTCCCTTAAGAACCGCAGGGGTCTGAGGAACATGGCCTGGCATTTCCTTCCCAGATACTAAGAGACAAGGTCAGACTCATAACCAATCCACTCTTCTTTTCAGCATGGACAAACTACATCTAAACTTGACCGAATTGGCGCTGGCAATGAATCATGTGTACAGTTTTACTGTGTTTGAACACACCATCTTCCCATCTGAGTATCTCAGCAGCCACCTGGAGGCCAGGCTCAACAGGTAGCACTCTTCCTGGTCCATGTTTGTGTTCTGTGTCAGTCTTCAGTGTGACTCTGTTAGAACCATCCTGTTTGTCATGTCACAGGCTGGAGGCTGATGCAGTCTGGCACTGGTTCCAAGCACCTCGGTGAAAAGCTTTTTAAAAAAGCTGTAAATCTCACCTCTATAGGTTTTGATGAGCATCTGGTCCACCCTCCTTGTTTGGTAGAGTGATCAAGGAGAGAGGCCAGCACTTGAGAGGTAGAGGCAGGAATGACAGGAATTTAAGGTCATCTTGGTTACCTACAGAGTTCTAGGCAGCCTGACTACACAAGCCCCTACCTCAAAAAAAGGGGGTGGGGGGAGTGTAGCCTTTCCAGCCTACAGAGCTGTGCCTGCATCCTGACTGTTAGCTACAACAATGGAGCAGTTATCTAACCTATCTGAGTCAGTTTCCTTCCTATTAAGTCCAGGATAATGATATTTACCTCATAGATCACTGTGAATGACCTGCAATTGAGGGTTGGTGGACAAGTACAGATTACTGAGTACAAAGTTCCTGACATGTAATAAGCCTTAGTTAAATAGATTCCCTTCCTGCACTCTGCCCCTCATTCCATTGTTCTCTGAGAAGGAAGGATACCACTTATGTCGTATGCACTGTGTTGGTTAGGGGATGGAGAGGAGTGGTTATGAATAATTCGTTATCCTTTTGTGTGTTGTCTTGAAATATGAGCAATTGATGCAACAAGTATTTATTGAACACCTATGTGTCAGGGCTATTCTAGAGGCTGTTGATAAAGTAGCATACAAAACAGCCCTGCTCCGTGACGCTTACCTTGTAGTAGGGGAGACAGATGAACAAAATAAGAGAGTAGCAAATGTGGCAGATTAGTGATAAATGCTAAACAGAAATCAGGGAAGGGAGGTGTCATAGGAAGTGGGGGGGGCTGAGGAGTTGTTGCAGTTTTAGATAGTGTGTTAACGGTGTCCCGGCATCTTGAGAATGACATTTTAGTGAACTCCTAAAGGAACTATGAAGCCAGGTATGGTGTGTGACTGTCTGGGAACAATCATTGGAGACAGAGGAACTGTTATTACCAAAGCTGAGACAGGGACATGTTGCTCTGTTCAAGGGACAGGGAGAGCAGAGTGGTGGCAGAGAGAGAACCTGGGCAAGCTGGGTGGGGCATGAGGTGGGACAGCATCGTGCAGGCAGCTGTGCGTGTGTGCCGTGCCCGGGGAGGGCCGGGCTGTCTCTAGATGTGCAGCCTTGGCTGGTCCCGGAGCAAAGCGGTAATAAGATTTGTGTCCACAGTTGACTGTGGCGTTATGAGCGTGAATGAAAACAGAAGTGGGAAGACCAGTTACAAGCTGTGTTTTGACTGTAAGATGTGCAGATTTCTTTTTCCTATTAGCGTTTTGCCTGGGTGAAGTAAAATAGCTTGTTTTTGCTCTGTACACGTTAGTTCTAGGGGAGGAAGTGCTTCAGTTGTATACATAATGTCAAGGGGATGACAGTGTGATAATTGCCCATGAACACCTTCAGCAGCCACGGTGGTTTCCAGGTCCTGGAGCAGTAAGGGTGTGATCACCTGGTTTCTCAGAATCTCTGATTATTGCTGCACGAGGTCATTATTCCTAAAGCCCATGGTTTTGTCTACAGGTTTTAACTTTTTTTTAATTTTAAGGAATTTTTATTTTTATTTTTATGTGCATGGGTGTTTTTGCTTGCATGTGTTGTGTACCACACATGTTTGGTCCCCTTGGATACCAGAAGAGAATATTGAATTCTCTGAAACTAGAGTTACAGATGGTTGTGAGCTGCCCTGTGGGTTTTAGGAATAGAACTCTGGTCCTCTGGAAGAGCAGCCAGTGCTTTTTATAGTCGAACCATCTCTCCACTCCATCCCCCCCCCCCCAGTTTGGAGAAGAGCCCTCCTAAGTGTATATATCCCAGGATGGACTATAATTTCTAATCCCTCCTGCTTTAGCCTTCTGAGTGTTGGTATTACATGTAGGTGCCACAACAGCCTAAAAATTCTAAGGCTGATTAAGCTTGCCTGTTGTAATAAAAAAAAGTGGCTGGAGAGAGAAAGATGTCATGCAACAGAGTTCGAGTGGAGGAGTTTTTATTAAGGGGATGGGGAAGACTGGCCTTTGGGGACAGGAGCAGTGGGAAAGAGGAAAGAGAGGAGAGGGAGAGAGGGAGGGAGAGAGGGAGGGAGAGAGGGAGGGAGAGAGGGGGGAGAGAAGGAGGGAGAGAGGGGGGAGAGGGGGGGAGAGAAGGAGGGAGAGAGGGGGGAGAGGGGGGAAGGGGGAGGGAGAGGGGGAGAGGGGGGGAGAGGGGTAGGCAGGGCCCTTTTAAAAGGGAGCATAGTGAATGTACTCGAGCAGTGCTCTGAGGGCGTATCCCGTCAGAACTCCAAAGGCAGGCCAGTAAAATGCCTAAATACTAACACTGCCTCTCACCTGTCCCTTCTATGTTATTTTCCTTTAAGTGATTCCCAGGGATCTAAAAACTTCCCTTTCATTTGTAGGAATAAACCTTCCTGAACATCCTGCAATAAACATTTTGCCAGAATATCAACCAGCCAAAGAATTTCCAGTATCTTACAGCTTAGGAAGAGTTTGAGGGACTCATTTATAGTAGGATACAAGCGAGTGACGTGCTGTGAATATGCTCTGTCCTGACTGTTTATCTTACTTTACGATGAAAAGTTGTAAGTCAAAGGACTGGCTGCAACACGAAGTTTTACTCCCTGGGGAAGACACGTACTGGGCACCCATGGCTGAATGCAGCAGACATCTGTTCTGTCTTCTCTAGAATGTGAAGTCTGCTGTACTTTATACAATCCAGCGTCCCTGGCCACCAGGGACTGCACTGTGTTTCCAAGGATTTCTTTCTGTCTGTTTTTTTTTTTTTTTTGAGTTGTTTTCGTTTTCATTTTTCTATTGTCTTTTTTATAAATTTTATTTAAATTATAAACAATCTTATTTTACATATCAATCCTAGTTTCCTCTCCCGCCCATCCTCCCATGACCCCCACCAATCCCCCCATCCCATTCACTCCCCAGGGAGGGTGAGGCCTTCCATGAGGGATCACTAAAGTCTGTCAAGTTATTTGGGGTAGGGGCTTAGGCCTTCCCCTGTGTATCTAGGCTAAGAGAGTATCCCTCCATGGGAAATGGGCTCCCGAAGTCTGTTCATGCACTAGGGATACATCCTGGTTCCACTGCCAGAGGCCCCATAG